CCACCCCTCCAGCCGGCCAGAGCACCTGCTGGGTCCAGCCACCAGGCGCAACTGGGGGGACCCTGGAACAGGGGGGAAGAAAAAAAGTCAAGTGTTAGCGTCAGAGAGCCCATCCGGCACGCTAAGCCTTCCTCTACCTGGCTTTCCATCTTTCCTTCCAAATGTCCTTTTAGCCACTATAGGCTTTTCCTCAGTAATCCTGGCATCCAGACAGCAGGTGTTGATCCAGGTCTCTTTTGCCTGAACCACAGAGCCAGGCCTTGCTGGATGGCTCCTCAGAAAGCTAAATACAGAATTACCATACGATACAGGAATTCCACTGCTAGGAATAGACCCAAAATATATTGAAAGGAGACTGGCAAGACAGCTCGGTGTGAAAAGGTACCCACCACCAAGCCTGACGACCCAGAGAGTTTGATCTGCGGGACCCCCACATGGCAGAAAAAGAATTCTCTGACATCCATGGGTGTATCATGGCACGTGTGTATACACATACAGAGATAAACATGATTTAAAAACAACTGAAGGGATATGTTAACACACACTCGATGTAGATGGCCGTACTATTCACAATAACTCAAAGGTGTCCCTCGGGGTATGGACAGCCAAACAGAAGACGGTAGTGAGCTTTGAGATGCACTCTGGAATGCACAGCGCAGCCCACGCTGGCCTCAAACTCATAATCCTCCTGCCTCCACTTTCCAAGCGCTGGAATTGCAGGAGTACACCACCAGGTCCATTGAACTAAGGAATTATTTTTACTTTTTTAGATTTTTAAAAAAATATTACATTTGTTTACTTACTTATTTGTGTGTGAGTGTGTATTGTGTGAGTTTGTGTGTGGTGTGAGTGTGTGGTGTGTGTGTGGTGTGTGTGAGTGTGTGGTATGAGTGTGTGTGTGTGGTGTGTGTTAGTGTGTATTGTGTGAGTGTGAGTGTGTGTGAGTGTGTGTATGTGTGTGAGTGTGTGGGTGTGGGTGTGTACGTGTGTGTGAGTGTGTATGTGAGTGTGTGTATGTGTGTGTGGTGTGTGTGAGTGTGTATTGTGTGAGTGTGTGAGTGTGAGTGTGTGTGAGTGTGTGTGAGTGTGTTTGGGTGTGAGTGTGTGTACGTGTGTGTGTGTGTGAGTGTGAGTGTGTGTGAGTGTATGTGTGTATGTGAGTGTGTATGTGGGGGGTGCGCATGCCACCATATGCATGTGACGTCAGAGGAAAATGTGTGAGAGTTAGTGTTCTCCTTCCACGGTGTGAGTCCCGGGGGTGAGACTCGGGTTGTCAGGCTTGGCAGCCAGTGCCTTTACCCACTGAACCGTCTTTCTGGCCCCATCTTTCTTGTGTGTTTCTGTGGGCTGGACGCATGTGTGTGTCCATGGGGAGTGTGCGTGTATTCATGTGGAGGGCACAGCTGCACGGCCTTCTCCAAGTTCTCTTTTGAGGCAGGGTCTGTCACTGAGCCTGGGGCTCACTGATTCGGTTTCATTGACTGGGCAGCATTCCCAGGGGACCCTCCTGTCTCCCCCACACACACTGGAGCTGGAGCAAGCGCAGCGGGGGTGGGGGGCTCCTTCTCCCTCCCGGGGAGGGGGGGCGTCTCTGCTCTTCCAGCCCTGGAGCTATGGCTGTGGCTGCCATGCCCAGCTTTTTCCTTGGGTGCTGGGGATCTGAACTGGGGGTCCTTGGGTCACTTTACCCACATAACTGTCTCCCTAATCCTCATCACGTCAAAATAATTCTTGAGCTGTGTTGTCCCTTGAAGCAAGCCCGAGGACATCCTGCTCAGGGCTGGCTACAGAAGGTGGAACTCTCATGCAAACACAACCCTGGATTTTAGGATATTGGCAAAGCATTAGAGCAAGAATGTGTCCTCCTAAGCAGGGGCGCAGGGCACCTTTCTCTTTGTGAGCAGGTTCCACGGGAAAGTCTCACAGCCAGGGCTGGAAGGGACTCACCGGCTTCCCCCCCAGGCTCTGGAGGGGCAGTGGGAGGAGCAGG